GTTTATCTGGCTCTTGACGTTCCTCTCAATCAAGTTGAAAGGACATGGAGCGATCGCAAGGAGAAGCACGAGCAAATCTTGGGAGCTTCACCACGTTGCGTCAAATTTGGCTTGGGCCAAGGCTACAGCGAGCTGTTGGACCTGTAGGCGCAAACCCATAGTTATGCATGGCTTGCCCATCTCATGCTGTCCTGTTGCTCGACCCGACAGGCCATTGATTACACAGTTACGCCTGAGCTGTGCACACATCCCAGGTCAACTTCACCATCCGTGAGAGCGTCACCATCAACCCGCTCTAGGACTTCTTGATCACTGTTTCTACTGTCTCTACCGCCTCTACCATGACGCTTCAGTATCAAATGCATCCCAGCCATACAAGCGCTGAACAAACAAGCATGCAGGAGCAGAGAGTCTGAAAAATGACAGTATTGTCAAACAGGCAGATTTGGCAAGGCTCCTTCCTTCTAGAAACCGGGAAGTCGAGCCCAGTGGCCGAAGTCTACCAACGGCATAAAACGCCGTTCGCCTTTTGAATTCAACACTTCAGAAGCGCAATCTTCGAATTAAGGGTGCCACATCAACAAGGTCTGACCAGACTTCATGCTTCTTCCGTCATGCCGTCGTTCAGCGGACCATGTGCAATGGACTGGTTTAAGCCGCCTAGAGGTCAGACTGGAGCATCCGCAACACACTGCACCTTGGCAACACAATCATGGAGGGTTCGGTTTACTCTCATCCATTGACCGCACGCACCGGCCTCTTTCGATTACCAAAGCAGAAGATGCGTTACGAACGACACCTAGCTGCAAAGAGGCTATACGATCAGCAAGCGACTGTACGCAAATTCAATCAATGGCGTTTGAGTAGCGAGTGCTATACGCCGACGAGAAAATACAAAGCAGATACCTGCCCAATCAACAAGACAGGATCTTTCCTCTCCGCTTCCAACCTTGAGCGTCTTATCAGCAGTGGAATACCGACGGATGGTGCGTCGTGTACCATGTTGTAGTGTGCGAATCGATGTCCTGCTGTGGGGCCATAGCCGGCTGATAATGCAGGTGCATCAAAGCATCCTCGTCGCACAGAATATGATACAGGTACCGACTCATGCACCCAAGGCTAACGCAGCTTGACGACAATAAAACCGCAGCAACCTTGCCACTCTGTACTCACAGCACGAAGCATCGCATCTCCCAGACGTCCAAGCGCTCTCGGTACTGTGCTCGCACAAGAGTGGAAACTTGGGATGAGTGAGGAAGACTGACAACGTGATGAATGTCCTGTTTCGTGGTGACCCCACAATCAATTGAAACTGTCCACTAAGTCGCTGAGCCAGTCTGATGGGATGACAAATTGAGCAAAGTCTGAGTTTCTCACCTCTCAGCAAAGAGTTCAAACTCCGCGCTAAAAGTGGCGACAATCAGAACACAGCAAGTGCGTCATCCTCGCATATACAGCTCTCATCTAAGTCTCCACATCGGTGTATTGCCAAGCTGAACCAAAGTGCGACCGCAAGAATCACGAGAGCTAAGAAGAAGTGGTGGAGCTCACACTGTACAGATATTCTCTGTCCCAGCCGATGGCAAAGTATGGCTCTCCATATTCACGAACACCTCCAAAAGCTGACACCTTTTTTTTTGTAGCGTCTAAAAACGACTAACTTTCATAATTCCAAAGACTTGGAGGAAGGTCGAGCTTGGGTAGCATGAGAAGTCTGGGTCAGATCAACGATCCCAACCAGCCTCAGTATGGTATAGGTAATGTGATCAGTCCCTCCAGAATAAACCAGTGAATGCTTGCACCTGATCGTGCTACACGCTTGGCAAAACGACGCCTGGCTGACCTTTTCAGTAGCTACAATTACCAAGCGAAGGACACCATGAGCTCTGCCTACGCCAACACATAGATGTCAGATCAAGGTCGGGTCGCCAAAGCTGTCCCGTCTGAAAGCAGATTATCAAGGTGTGTCTGAGTGCTTCCAGCTGTCACTCTATGAGCTGACATTCTTTGAGACCTCTGCCGAGCGTTTCGGCTTCGTCAAAAGACTGGGTATCGTTCAGCGCTTAGTGTAGAGTGCCTCACAAACCATCCCATTCATACGCAAAGTGTAGACGGGACATCAATACGGTGACGAAGACTGTTCCCCGTATAATATTGAGCAAAGGTATGTGGCTCGAATCTGCCGCAATCATGGTTTCTGTCAGGCTAATGAAGAGGGGCGCATGCTCAAAGCCATATGAGTAAACACTTTTGATGTGGCTGGCTCCATACTGCAAATGCAAGATGATATCTTGGGCTGAAGAGAATATGGTGGCCAAATGGGCCTTGAGTCGATGGTGAACTGCCCAAAGATGGTATGTATGGCGCACAAAAGATGGCGCACTGTCCTTATAAGATGTTACACGACTACTTCATTTGGACGTATGCTAACTCCACTCGAGGGTTCAAGATATGGAGGAGGTTGCTGGTCAGAATTGATCACGCCTTTGTGCTGAGTATGAGAGCTAGGGCTAGAGTTTGAAGAGATTGGCATAGGGAGGGTCGTTGGAGGTCTGTGATTTCCGGTTTCTGGGTTTCTGGGTTTAGAACGGGCGAAAGAGTGATTGTGAGGATGGATATTTTGGACTGTCACTTGCCATCATCCGCCCTTGCGCACACTTGGAAGCTAGGACATACACAATCTAACAATCTCAACTAAGCCTGCCATCATCCGCCCTTGCACATACCCAGAAGTCAGGACATGGACAAATTGGAAATTCCAAGTCTACCGTCATACACCCTTGCACAGACCCAGAACTTACACTATCTGACAACCTCAAATCAAGCCTGCCATCATATACCCTTGCACATACCCATAATCCGCTGCCACCTCTCTTCCCCTCCATCTCACGGTATGTGAGGAAGCTGCCAGACACCCTGCTGGCGCTCCAGGATTTGCCGTCGTTACACCTTCACATTCTAGCCTCACTTTCATACCAGACGAAGACAGAGCCGGATTTGATTGACTGCCTCTCCTTCTCCGAGAGACGCCGCTGCACGCGAGGTAACAGGCCGATGCGACATGCCTCGAAGAAGAAGATGGCATCCACCGGCGTTCTAACGTGACCATGGTACGTCTCCATTGCGAGTAGTATACGTGGATGCGCGTGTTAGAAAGGTTGCATGCTCCTATGTCGAGTTCCTCCGTGAAACCTTGACCTTTTCCCAAAGGTCCTAGTAGTGGTCTTGCTCCTTGGGCCGCAATCAGCAACGGTGAGATCTATATAGGGTACAGGGTGGCTATGTATAGCTGCTACCCACAAGATCGGAGAGGAATGAGGGACTGCAGCGATACTAAGAGTCGAGTAGCGTTGCGATGGCGGTGCAGGCTGGAGTGGTCCCACGGCCAGTCAGCTGTCCTTACGCAGCATGGGAGGGAGATAATAAGCCAAGACTTACACAATCCGACAACTCCGAACCAAGCATGCCATCATCAACCATCCCAGAACAGACGATCATCACCCATACTCTGCACAATCCCACTCACCCCAAGGATGCCAGCCAAACCCACCCGCCACCTCACCCATCCCCTAGCAGCCGCCCCTCTCGCCACGCTCCTGCGCACCAAGCCCGAAGCCTGAGCTCTGCTGTCTTTCACCGCCCGTCAGCACCTCTACGCCCTGCTTCAATCGCCACCGCCAGGGGGGCTACCCCATGACCCTGACGTCAACCCGCTAGAGACGTGAGCCACACGGCACGCAAATGGCTGTTGTCACCAATGATTTGCAAGGTTACGCCTTGAGTTCAATGCGCAAGGGAGTCCCAGTAGTGACAATCATTGTTGTTTCATCCAGATGCTCTCTGACATTGATTGCAAATGGGATCGTGTGGGTGGAAGGCTGAAGATTGTGAAGCATGGATTGACGATCAGAATTCTAAGATGAGTCATCCACCTTCTGTAGGTGAACGATGCGAACGATGCGGACCAAGGCATCGCCCATCCCTTCAGCATCAGAGAACATAACGAAGAACTCCTACTATCACCACTACAGATAAAGCCATCTTCGGCGTCTTTCCCCCCGAATCCTGCTATCGAACAGCATGCGGTAGAACCTAACTACGACGATAGATCTTCACGGTAGTTACCTCTGTATAGTGAGATAAGTTGCTCTTCCCATCCATTTGCTCATTGATTGACGATGATATCGCTTCATCTTCGCCATTATCATTATACAGAGGGAACTTCATGGTGGCTTCCGGCAGGCGATGGGTGTATACAAATGGCGAAAGAGTGTCGTTAAGAGCCTTCTCGAAGGCGAACCCAGCGTACTGCAAAAGGGGTTCATAAACTGGTTCTGGGTGGACTTTGCGAAGCCTACTCGTCAGAACACACTCTCTGGAGCCTTAAGCGCTAGATGGAAGTAGCCTTTCCAAGATACAAACTCTGCAGAACGTAAACGACCGTGCGATCCGCGTCATGTTGACCTTGGACTGCAATACTGACTACTCCTAGAGACCTGGTTAACATGAGAAGGTGGTCTAGTTGGGGCGCTTGTAAAGTCTTTAACTCTAGTAAATAAGTACATACCTTAGGTACTAGCCTTAGTAGAACCAGTAGAAACACGCCACCTCCTGGCCAGAACCATAACCCCCTGGCGCCGATGTCTCCCATGCAAAACAACCACATCGTAGCAACGAGGTTCTACTACAGCCAGTGTGACCTAGTCCCCGAATCCAAGACCCCAGCCCGCTATACATGAGCTTGCCCGCTTTGGTCCCTACTTCCACGCAGAATTTTCTCGCTGTTTTCCCTCATATTTCTTTTTCCAACAGACATATATCGTTCTTTTTTTCGATAGATTGGCTTTTCTTCTCCCCCTCAATCATCCTAACCTGTTTCTGAGTCCTCTGAAGCAACAATTCGTCCGCAAAATTGTCCTCCTTCCTCGATTCACTATATATATCCTTTTTTCTCTCATTTCACCATCCTGAGGTCCTACGACTCCGTTCCAACGCCATTTGGCCGGTTGGCGCAATGGAAGCGCGCTAGTTTTCGGCAGGAGCGACCCACTCATGTGGTAGTTGTTCTGAAATGATACACTAGAGGTTGAGGGTTCGAGCCCCTTGCTGGTCGGGATAGTCAGCCATAGCGAAAGCGGGTGGAGCTGCCTTTTTGGGCATCGGGGCTTGGCTAAACGGGATCGTCCGATGGATAGCCTTCGGCACGCGCCGCTGCCGATCTGGGCAGGGCTCTGATTAGCCCGGGTTACAGACTAAAGTAAACCTTATGAGCATAAGACTATGTTATGAGTATACCGGCGTGGTCAGTAGTGATGTTAGTGGTATATGAAGCTCGAGAGGAGGTTAGTGGAATGCAGTTGTAGAATTTTCAACATGGATCTTGTCTCGCCTTGTTGAGATTGAAATAAGAATGGCATTGCACCACACCAAACTTGCTGTGCTTGCACCGAAGACCTGAAACGTATCCAGTTTTGTCCAGAGCTTCACTCATGTGTGGGGCCTGTGACCGGTATCTTCCACTCCAAAAACAGTTTTCTTCCTCAAATTGCCTCGGGAAGGGTTGCTTTCCGCATAAACCCTCCTTGCGAGATCTAGCCGTTGAGGTCTCTATGCTTTGGAGTCAAGGTCAAGACTGGGGGGAAGATCTCAGCAATGTAGTTGGGCCTCGATCAGCGAGTGGGCCTATATTGTCCCATGATGGTGGTTGTGCGATGTGGGCCAAAGTATGCAGAGGGGTCACAAATTCTCCAGAACGATCTAATGAGTGGGAAAAGTCCGACCCTCTTGCTGGTCGTGGGATCATCTCCCTCTTCGGTCACAGCCATCGGTTTGTCTCTACATCGACGGAATCGATACGGCACCGGATAGATAGATGATCATGTGTCCTGAGATAGGAATAGAAGTCATACACAGTCGAAGCTTGAATTGAACAGAACACAATGGTTTCAAATGGTGAAGCCGACGTCAGCAGCTGCCGTTTTCGTACCCAAACTTCAAGGGAGTCCACAGCGCGTGATGTCTCGATCAACCGTAACCGGGTGTTGTGATAGTCTTGTCAAGGCACAGAGACGGATTGTGACACTAGACTTGAATGATGGTCTACATCAGAACTGGTTGGCAAACATTAGAGCCCTCGCAATTCCAGTTTGCTATATGTACAGAGAAGAAGGTTTGCGGATGTGGTTCATGTTACAATGACAAAGAAATCCCAGCGCCCCAAACTCAAAAACTGCCATATGTCCTTCATTGCTACCGTCCATTTTCCGAACATAGGTTCGCGCTGCTCTTCCCATGGAGGCTGTCGCCGACTCGACCGGCAAGACCCTTCAGCCCAGAGCTTGGTGCGCGCTTGCGAGTCGTTGAGCGCGGTGTCCTGCTAGGTTGTGACCTTATCTCTTCGGCAGAGAAGTCAGGAAACGCCTTTAGCTCTGTTGTGGTTTGTGAGGCCTGCTCATGTAGCTTGGCCTTCTCGACGTCTGCCACCGATTCCTCTGCTCGGGAAGCGGCCACTGGAGGTTTGTCTGCATCCACCTTCTTCTGCGCGGCCAATCTCGCTCGCTCGTATCTTGCGCTCACGTCGCCTCCAGTCCATTTCGTACCTAGCAAACCATCCCAGAATGTGAAGAAAGGTTGGCTGAAGTTTGTTTTGATGCCCCAGCTCTGGTGATGGACATCGTGGTACCCGGCATTGTTGCTGGTGAGATGCTGAAGCGGATCCCAGGGGAAAGCGTAGCCGCAGTGGTCATCTACGGTTTTGATCGTGCTGATGGTGAAGAACCATATGCATTGACGCGTTGTCATGTTGCTGATGAGGTAGGCGATACCCGCGCCGAGGGTATCGAGGAGGAAGCCTTCGAATGGGTGGTTGTACAGCGCGCCGTAAGCGTAAGGGACGTAGAGACGATGGTGGCGTGAGTGGAAGGTGGTGTAGAGCCATTTGTTCAGGTGCATGGCGCGGTGGAGGAAATATTGCCAGGTATCTACAATGCAGATGGCCAAGATGAACTGCAATGCTGGAATGACAAAGTAGTATATGGTCGAGGCGACTAGAAGCTCCCAATGCGCAAACGCAGGTGCTGTGGTTGGTTGTCCGTGCAAGAAAGTGGTCTGCGTCAGATCTGGGTAGATCCCTCCTCTGAGGGCACCTGCAACGAGTGGGCTTGCGTTGTAGTGCTTCGCCAGGCCAATTGCATCGATTCCCACGAAGGCCAAAACATTTGGGATTGCCCTTTGCGCAAGCCTCAGCCTCTGCGCCCACACCGCGATATCGTACTCCTCCTTGCCGCATACTTGTGCCGCATCGAATACGGTCAACGCCAACCCCACCACTGTCTGGATGAGTTGTTGTATGACGACGTCACGGAACACGTCCCATCTCGACACGTGATTGCGCTTCAATACTTCGGCAGGCGTATGTAGACGGTAGGCAGGAAAGAGGTCGCATTCGTCGATGAAATGGAAGATCATGGACACCGCCCAGTACGCGATGACTGGCAGCGCAAGGGCCAGGTAGGTGTCTTCAATGCCAGGTATGAGGGAGGGAAGAAGCTTCAACTCGTAGGCGGGGAGAGGCGGCAGATCGTATGGATTGGCTGTGGTGTTCGCCATGATGGCGAATGTCGTGAGATCCAGAGTGGGAGTCGGTAAGGCTGTGTTGTCGCGCTCGAAGAGCAGGCGATCGCTCGCAGATCACAGAGAAGCACGACTCGCATGCAAACAAGGTCGAGTTTTCAGAGCCTAAAAATCATACCACATCCGACGCCTCCTGATTCTGGGTCGCAATCTCGGCTGGGTTGCCTTGGGACCCCACTTTCCCCGATCCTGACGCAGAGGCTGATTATCAACGGTAGGATGTAGAACGCGAGGACTGGGTTGATAGAAATGCGCTAGGAGAGGAGAGAGAAGGGAATGCGTGAAGGAGAAATAGAGAGCCAAAGTGAAGTTGTTGTTGGAGAAGGCGCAGTAAGAACGTCACCCTGGCAATGGAGAGGGAGCGCATTATTAGAGGCGAAGAGGAGGAACACGCCGTATCCGTCATCCTTCACCTATCAAAGATACCTCTCACCTCCTACAGGTACCATACGGAAGCGGGTCCTTACCCGTCTGATCCCGATTGGCTCATCCGTCTGATTTGGACCTTTGACGTCCCGACTGTCAGCGGGACTTGGCGCTGTCTCGTTCCCGGTCTTATCGATAGAGCGTCCACGCGGGTGCTTACTATCGTACACTGGTGAAGTCATCATTGCTCAGACCTCAGGTACCTGAACACTTTCTGATCTGATCTGATCTGATCTGGTCTGGTCTGATCCGAATCGAGTCGAGCATTTTGCCTTTCGGTGTAGGTAGCATGTTCCAGCTGTGTTCCATCAACTGGACACCCTTCAATCTTCTGTAGTTGGCAGCCCTTCTAGACAGGATCATATGGCGACACGATCATCTCGTACTACGCTCAATCAATAACACTTCGAGGATGTCCACTGCTTGCGCCACTTGCGCCCTTGTCTATGGCAGCGCTCTGGACCCCGCCTCTGAGAAACCGCTCTTGCCAGGCCGTCTACTCGAATGTTGCTCGAGATCAATATGCTCAAAGTGCCTTGTACAGAATGCGCGATTCGAGACGTACTGTCCGTACTGCCAGATTTCAACGGCACCCTCGGCCTTGCCTCAGGGTGGATTGCGTGATCCGCCTTCCTACTCTACCCTGAGTGACTTGGGAGCGCCGCCACCGGCTGACTGTGGAGATGGGTACGACCTACCCCCAGCTTATGATGGAAAGGGTCTGAATGTCGAAGCACCTGATAAGAAGAGAGTAGATGAGCCAACACCCGATGTTCTTCACTTCGTCACTCAGAATGATACCGTGACCTCCCTTGGACTGGCCTATGGCGTGCCTGTAGGTGTGCTCAGGAAGATCAACAACATCTTCTCCGATCATCTGCTCCAAGGCCGACGGACCGTCCTGATTCCAGGCGAATACTACAGGGGAGGCATATCCCTAAGTCCACGACCTATTGACGGTGAAGAGGAGGAGGTCCGAAAGCAGAAGATCCGCAAATGGATGATGGCTTGCAAGGTCGCAGAGTGAGTGGCGCCAGCTCCTCTCAGTCTCTCAAATCATTTATGCCAACGAAGCTGACAAAGTATCCCCCCTCGTTACAGGTACGATGTTGCCCTTCTCTATCTTGACAATGCAGCATGGGATCTAGACGCTGCAATACAGGCCCACAAGGATGATGAGCGGTGGGAAAGAGAACACCCACTCAAAGCTAAAGGTAAGGGCAAGGGAAAGAATGCTGCAACCACAGGCATGAGGCGCTTTGTAGGTGAAAGTTCGAGTAGCGCCAGAAGTCGATAATGCCCTTGGCCATGCTCGACATGTTCACTCTACTTTTTTCGACGGCCATACTCTCACAGTTGACAATACATGATTGTGCCGGTACCGACGACGGCCCAGTGACGTTGCCGTCCAGCATAACATAACTCCAGCATTGCGGTGATGGCCCGGAGATTAGCCAAGACCAGATGTTTTGCGTTGCGCTTCTTTGTCCACCTATGGCTCTTACAGATCGTCGATACCGTTGGGAATATGGCCGGCCTCCATCGAATCATGGCGAACATGGACTCTAGAGCAGTCATCGGCATGGTCAACACCATGACCGGTTTGTGCATCAGGGCTGGAGTGCTCATTCAAGATGCATTCATGGATCGGGAGTTGGACGAGTTCAGGAGCGCACTATCTTGATAATTGGCCAGTGTAAATCTTGCACCTCGACTTCAACCAGTCTTCATTTATAATCCTTGAAAGCCGACGACGTAACAAGGGCCGTTGTCACCTTGTTGTATGGAGGCCGCTGCTGTCCGTTATACAACTCTGGGATTTCTGTGAGAAAGCACCTACTCTTCTCTGGATCGAATATCATAGTTGATGCATTTTGTATCATAGCAACCAACAGAGCCATGCCAACATTCGTTTAGAGATTGACTAATTCCTCCATACTCCCATCACCGATACTCCCACAAGAATGCGTTGGTCACTACTTCCCGTTCTAAGCCAAATTGATCTCCCCCCTCATCACACACGTACCAATCCGACTCCCAAGGGCCGATCGGCTG